GTCCCCCCGCCGCACCGACCCTGGGGCGGCCCCAGCCGCTCTGGGACGGCGAAGGGCGTGAGCGGTGTCCGTAGGAGCGTGCTGAGGTCGGGGCACCGCTCCCTGCTGCCAGGGTTAGGAGAGGTTAATTTAAGAGCAGGGGTTATTTCAGACACCGGGGCCGTGTTGGCTGGTAGACCTTGAAACGTAAAACGCAGTGGGCGTGCAAAGTGGGGACAGCGTGTGGTCCTCCTGCTCCCAGGCAGAAGAGCTGCTTTACACAGTGACAGGAGTGCAGCAAACTTCTCCATCACAACAATAGGATAATTAATTTTTAGAAAGCGAGATGTCACATAAGCACGTTTTGCTTCTTACTTCCTATTCAGGCCAGTTTTTAGTTACCTGACTGGTTCTTGGGAAAGGAAAACGAGGGTAGATATCAGTAGTTGTGAGAACAACGGAGAACTTGTAACCCCCTGACATTTTTTGAAATGTTAATATTAATCAGATGTAGTGCACTCAGTCTTTTTCTTAAAAGTTGGTGGGTATGGCTGCGTGTACCTTTGATGCAAGGACTAGAGGAGCTCAAGGGACCCCAAGTGACTTTGGAAACACTCTGGAAGAACTGAAAAATGGGGAATGCTATCTATATTTCTGTCTTTCTATCTAAGCTTACAGCTAGTGTCACTTTTTTTTAAATAGGCTCTGGAATGAGAGAAATGTCAGTGTACTGTGAAAAGGCATCCTGGGATTTGAATTATTTTGTGTGTGTGTGTGTGTGGCTTGAAAATATATACACCTGCTATTAATTTTCAAAATGCTCTATTTAAAAAATATTCTTTCTTGCCATACTGAGTTAATGTAAATAGTGTATCCAAATGTGCCTTTCCCTTCAGCATGTGCTAATAGATCTTGATTTTTCAGGTTTTATTTTCAAAGCAGGTTTGGTTTTGTGGTTTGGGTTTTTTTTTTTTTTTTCCACTTAAGAAACAAAATCTTAATTTTGATTTCTTAAACTTTTCTTGGCAGGTGGAATTTTTCTAGGTACTGTTGCTACAGCAGGAATGATAGCGGGTTTTGGCACCACACTTGCCATGACAAAAAAGAAGAACCCAGACTGGTTCAGTAAGGTTTGTTCCTTTTGAACTATTTTCCAGTTGTGAAACACAGGAAATAAGAACATATCAAATGCTTTATAGAACTGTTGATATATCTGGAGTTTGGCCGTACAAAGTTGACGGTAAGAGGACTAGACTTAATTGAAGTCAATAGGGATAGCATTAATTTAAAAATCAATCGTGAGTTGGCACTGCTAAATACTTTAGTGCTTGAAATTAGTTGAAATACATAAAGCTTACATTGTTTGCTGGAATCATACTGCTGCTGTATAGTGGATTATAACTGATGGTCTGTTTTGATTCTGTAATGTGACTTCAGTCATGAGCCTGGGTCACCTCAGTGATCCAGTTGACAATGCAGTCCCACAGTGCTACAGGGAATTGGGAAGTGAAGTAACTGCAGTAAGGATGGGAATGAGGAGTTAGAAAGCCTGTAAGCTGTTCAATATGTAAGTGGAATAATTAGTCAGAAATTAAGCTCTCCAGTCCCTTCCCACCATGTGAGGAGACTGATGAGAATGAGTAGTGGCTTGGTACTATGAGCTCTTGTGGCCAGAAATAATCTGATGTTGTGCAGTTGCTAACAGGATCTACCTCAGCATTCTGAAGAAAAAAATAGCAAAGTAAAGCTAGCAGTTGTACCATTTTGGTATATTAATGTGAAATACAGCATATTTAATTGAAGAACACTTTTTTCCTCACTAATGCTTTGTAACTGCCAAAAATGTCAAAAATTGGCCCTTAAAATTGATCAGTCTCGTCTCCACCAGGCCCTTAAAATACAGCATAAATTACAGATGTTTTTAGGGATCTGAGAATTGATCAGTTGTGGGGTTAAAATGTTAATTCAAAACCAATGTATATCAAGAGAAAAAAAAAACTTCCATTGCACTTTCTATCAGAGCCCTTGTATCTGATTACTCACGATCTCCTTTTGTGGTGAAAGAGCATGAGATCCTTCCTTTGCCATCCTATTTTCCTCTAGGCTGCTGTGGCATAACTCATCCATTGCCTTTTCAGCAACAATAAACACGTGTCTTTTCTGAAAGAGACAAAATAGAAAAGTCCAAGAGAGGTTATTTCACAAGCTATAGAAATATATTACAATAAGGAAGTTTTCTCCCTCTTTTTTAACATCTTTTTTTAAAAAAACTTCCTTTTGCCTGGGCATTGCGGTTTTTCCAGCTCGCATGTATTCTTGGCTGTCTGAACTGTCCTGTTATCAGTGTGAAATTTGTCAAGAGTGGCATTACATTGACATCTGAGAATATGTGTGCTGGAACCAGCACCAACTGATACATACCATTTCAATTTTTGCTGAAAATCTGTATTTGCTGCTATCTGTGCAAATGAATTGCAGCAGTTTGCTAGCAAAAATCTGTGATTCCTGAGCCCCTCAACTTAAATACTGCAAAGTGTAGAAAGATTTTTTTTTTTGTCAAGGTATGTGTAGGTGAGCAATTTCAAAGGGGAAAGCTAGAGTGGGAGAATCACTGAACTGTCTATAGAGGCTCTCTGAGGTACCAACGAGGTAAACAGTTTTCCAGTAGCTTTCTTACTTAAATTTATAGTTACTTACTGCAAGTCATTTTTAATAACACATCATGTATAGTAATTAAAGTATAACTATGAATAACTACAGATGTTTGCATCCTTCTTAAATGTTCAATACATAAATATTATTTTTATCCATGTTAAGGTGAAGCCATGGTTTGACAGGTACTTCAAGCAAACGTCAGCCAGCGTTGCTGTTGATAGAAGTAGTCCTACCAGCTTTTAGTTTCTGGCAATTAATTCCTGCCCCTGTAAAGGCACCAACACTTGTGCTCCTGGGCTGGTGAGATGATACTGGTTGATACTACATTTGGTTGGGTTTCTTTTCTTCTTGCATTAGTTTTAGTCCAAATCTGTCTTGATCCCCTTCACTGCATGACTGCAGTGACTGTGCTTAGCACAAGCTTGGAGGGAGGTCTGAAGGAATGAGAACTGATGCTCAGTGTTAGGAAGAAATGCGAGACCTGTTCTTTCAGCATCTTCGCTGGCTTCTGCTGGTTTTTGTGTCAGTGGAATGGTGGCATGCAAGTCAGAGTAGAAGCAGGAAGCAAACATAATGCAGCCTGGGACAGATTAAAATAGTTTTATGGGACAAAAAAATAGCAATTTAGAGGGGAAGGTGTAGCATCATGGCTTCATGACTGCATTCTGACTTGTAGGAAGCAAAAGTATGAGACCCTACTCTTGCAGAGTAGCATCAGCGTTACTGGCAAGAGATGAAGCTGAAATTGCACCCACTGTACCTCCTCCATGGTAGTGAAGTAAGTGTAAGCATTTGTAGACCTGGCGCCCAGATTGACTCCAAACTGATGAACCACTGCAGAGACCTTCAGTTAAGAAATTGCTGAGGGATGTTAAAATTAAATGCTCAGATACAGCAGCCTCTTTGTAATAGGTGTCCAGATTTACCAGTACTTATCCAGGTGTTTAATTTTACAATGGATTAGGTCATACAAAACAGTGAACATGCTGAATACAATCAACCAAAAGGGTTGAACACACCATTTATTTTAGGCACTGCTTCCTTTCAGACACACTCTTATCCGCAAGGGGATAGTTAAAGGATTGAGGCCTGTGTCTGAAAAAAACAATGTCATTTCTCCTTCTCCCACTTCCTGCTTTTATCCTCCAGAAAAAAAAAAAAAAAAAAAAATGAAGCATATATTTTAGTAACCAAACAGCTAATTCTGCCCTGTATATTCATGGCCTGGTTTTTAGAAAGACTCAAGTATTGCTTACTAGCTTATTTTTTAAATCAAAGTAGTTTCTTTTTAAAAAAAATATAGGAGCATTAATTTCATTAATCAGCTTTCTTGATGCTCTGAACAGTATATCTGGTAATCATATAGCAAACTGTGTTCACAGAAATCCTTATCTGTGTACTTAATACCCCAAGGAATCAGCCTGTGACGGAATGCTGTTTGACTGCTGTCAGTAAAACCAGATCAATTGTTTCCATTTACCACTTTTTTTTTCTGGGGCAGTCAAGCACTTAAATAGCATTTGAGTGGGGTTTTTTGCCAGTAATTTTCACAGATAATGAGTCCTATTTAAAGATTCTGTGTAGAGGGTATTTTTGTCCGTTCATTTCCTATCTTCCAAATGGGATAAATTTTTCTGCATGTTGTTGTATATGGTTAGACTATGGAAGCAGGAAAAATGTCAGAAATAATAATCAACATTTTAAATCTACTCAAAGCAGTCTCTGCTGAAAGAGTTATGAAAGTTCATTACCTGTGGTAAGGAAATAATAGGACCTGGTATAATAGTGTGACTAGAGATCTCGGTTGTTTGTGTCTGTGTGCAGAACATTGTTTTCTTAACAGCTTCTGCTTTGGGATGTCCAAATCAGAATAAATAAGGATCAAGATGCATTTTGCTTGTACCCTTTGCAAGTGTGTATTTGTCCTTGGGTGACTGTGACTGCAGCTAAATCCTAAGGAAAAGTGTTAATGCTGAGGGCTGGCTGAGGATCATTTTAACATTTCAGTTAATGCAAAGCCAAGAGGACAAAACTACTGGTGCTGTTTCACTGACCAAATACCATAGTGATAGACACTACATATATTTAATTATATCAAAGAAGAAAGAGAACCATTTAAAAAAAATTAAAGCAAGAATGCAAAAGATGGTTTTCCCACTTTTTGTGGTGAATAGAAAAGTGCAGCTCTTTGGCATGTTTTTGAGGAAAATATTTTGGATCATTCTGCAAGTTAATTTCACTTTTCAGTATTTTAGACTATAAATTCAGTAACTCTTTATTGAATACATTTGTATGCTTGCACTGTCATTTATGTTTACCTCTAAGTAATATCTTTTTTTTTCCCTAAGATACTTAGTAAGTAAGTAGGACTGTTCAGTTTTGTAAGGACCGTAGATGTCAGTTTTTAAGTTACCTTCTGAAATCTGTGTTTCCATGTGAAGAATTGAACAGTGACCCTGCAGGGGGAAAAAAACCAAAACCTCTTGCTGACATTTACCATTATGAGCAAAAGGATTATGTCTGTCTTACTGCTGTTGCAGGCTACACAAATTGAAGCTGTCCTATACCAGTTGAGTACAGTAAGGTGGGCGTTGTGAGATGAGAACAGCTGGCTACCGGTGAATGTGCAGTGTGCACTGGCTGATGTCAGCCGTTGTGTGGCTTATGCCCCCGTAGCTGCAACAGAAAAGGTTTCATCGTAGTTGGGACCCCATCATGGCTGCAGCTTCATTCTTCTTGGCCTGAGGTGGCTTTTCCAACTGACGATGTTTTGTGTTTTCAGGACCCATCTCATAGCAGACTTCTAAGCAGCAGTATCTTAACAAGTGGCTAAAACCGTCTGCTCTAGTTTCTGACAGAAATGAGAAGTAGGAGACTGCAGAGCATTTTCTGTGTTGCCACTTGTTGAACTCTGCTAGGGGATGGGGTTCAGTGTTGTTTACTCTTTCCAGAATTTTCCTAAATAGTTTCCAGAGCTTCTACAGAGTTGCAGCCCCTCGAAATTAGTCTCTCGGTCACTGTCACAGCCTCTCTGTGTCAAGCTGAAAGCTACTCAGGTTCCTCCAGTTTCCTAATCTACTATTTCAGGAGTTCAGATAAAGACCTGTAGCCCAACAATTGACTATCCCCCCTATGCCTCCCAAGGAAAAGTACCAGAATCCATGAAGTACATTGCTTATGTTCTGATGTCACTGGCATAGAATCATAAAATGTTGTGAGTTGGAAGGGACCCACAAGGATCATGGAGTCCAACTCTTGCTCTAGCACAGGACAATACCAAGATTCAGACCATGTGTCTGAGGGCCTTGTCCAAATGCTTCATGAATATTGTCAGGCTTGGTGCCTTGACCGCCTCCCTGGGGAGCCTGTTCCAGTGCTCCACCACCCTCTGGGTGAAGAACCTTTTCCTAATGTCCAACCTAAACTTGCTCTGATGCATCTTCCTGACATTTCCCCTGGTCCTATTATTGGTTGCCAGAGAGATCAGCACCTGCCCCTCCTCTTCCCCTTGTAAAGAAGTTATAGACCACGATGAGGTCTCCTCTGTCTCCTCTTCTTCCAGCTGAATAATCCAAGCGACTTCAGCCTCTCCTCATATAGCTTCCCCTCTAAGCCCTTCACCAATTTAGTGGCCCTCCTCTGGACACTCTCTAGTAGCTTTATAAGGGCTTGTGACTGGTTTTGATTCAGTTTTGTATTTTGGCTGGTGGGATAACAGTGTTGGATTCTTGTGCCCACAACACAAAACAGTTGACTTCAGCATTTCTGGTTAATAAGAACCATCCCCAGCAGTACTGGCAACCATTAAAGCTGCTCCTGTTGGGAGGGCAGCTCATCCAACCCCTTGCTTGGCTCTTCAGGTCTGCTGGCAACCATAACGGAGCTTCTGTGGCTGCAGTAGTACAGCTGGCATGTCAGGAAAGATTCTACATTACTAAGTTAACTTTTTTAGTTAATATTTTTTTTCCAATTATTGTTCAGTTTGTCTTGATCACTTTATTCTTGGTTCTAGGGGATTACTGCAACAGCTGCGTTACCAGAGAGTGGTTCGTCACTGGCCTTAAGAGCCCTAGGATGGGGCTCACTCTACGCGTGGTGTGGAGTTGGATTGCTCAGTTTTGCCATCTGGAAGGCCCTGGGTGTGCACAGTGTGAGTGGCAAGTATGATCCCCTCAAATACTGTATTTTTCCTTGGATAATGTATCTTGGGGTGGCAGCTCTGTACTACTTCAGTCTAGGAGTGACACCTTCATTCAGCACGTGCGGAGTGACTAACCAGAGTGTGTGGACACAGGGAAGGCGTTCTTACATCTGCAAAAAAATGGATGTTGTGGGAGGAGACAGTTTTGGGGGAAGAACAGTTTTGTCCTGGTTATGTTTATTTGCACAGATGTTTCAGTTTCTTCACAAAAGAGCTGGTGTTCTAATTTAGAGACTAAAATAGTAGCTGCAAAGTTTCTATATCCTTTGCTTATTGAATTGAAGGCTACTCCCTGAATCCTATCTTTAGCACAATCCGTTTATTTGTCCAAGTTCCATTTTTTGCCTCAGGACACTGGGAATATAAGAGAAACTGAGAGGAAACCGGCTTGCCTTCTAGTGTGTTTCTGGAAGGGGCAAGGGGGCAGAAGATTGAGTTGCATGTGCAATAGAGTGGTGGTACATGACGTGCCACATCAAGGCAAAGAAACTTGGGAAGCATCTATATTTCCCAAGGGGCTAAGGCTATCCTTAGTAAATTGCTTATGTTCAGTGTTAACTGTGAACAGTAAAGTTCATGTAAGCATTTTTGTTTGCCCATAGTAATGAGCCATGACTTAAGAGTCCCCTGCAGCTATAAGTTTGGCAGAACTGTCTGCATCCTGTTTAGGACTAAGAATGAGTAGACTTCCTTTACCTTCCATGGCAAATTATTTATGTATTCAGCAAAGTGTCTCCCAGAACTAAAAGGAAGAAGATACTACTTCATCCCAGTACTGTTCTTAATATCTTTATTCAAGTTCTTGCTTCTTGTCTACTTGGCTGTTTGTACCCTGTAGGTCATGATTTGGGTCCCAACATACAGCACTACACAGTCATAGAATCATAGAATGTTATGAGTTGTAAGAGACCCACAAGGACCATCTAGTCCAGCTCTTGCCATAGCACAGGACAATCACAAGATTCAGACCATGTGTCTGAGGGCCTTGTCCAAATGCTTTGTGAGTATTTTTAGGCTTGGTGCCATGACTGCCTCCCCAGGGAGCCTGTTCCAGTGCTCCACCACCCTCTGGGTGAAGAACCTTTTCCTAATGTGCAAACTAAACCTCCACTGGCACATCTTCCTGCCATTTCCCCTGGTCCTATCATTGGTCACCAGAGAGAAGACATCAGTGCCTGCCCCTCCTCTTCCCTTTGTGAGGTCCCTTATTTCTTAGTTTCCAATGTTAATTCTCAATAGGAGCCAGTAAGGAAGACAGAACACCAAAACCAGTGTAGCAGGACATAGGTAGTCATCTACAACACATTTTGTTTAAACTCAAGTCTTCCTTGTGAGGCTGTAGTGGAATGGCAGAAACGGGGGAGGAAGAGTGGGAATAACAGTTTGTACTCTGTGCATGCTGAGCCTCAGCAGTCGACTCAGCTTACTGTCAGTTACATCATCAGCAAAAGGGTTCATTTCAAACTATGCTGTCAATTCTTATTTTCGTTCCGTCAGAGTACTTCTGGTCCTGACGAAGGACAGCAGGATCTAACCCTAGTCTGCAATTTACGTTAACTGTTTCTCGGTAAGCTTAATTTTTACTTCCTTGAGAAGTACTGGCCTAGACCCACTGTTGCCTGGTTTCCTTATGAGGCTGCTTTCTTTGAGACTACCTGACAGAGAACCACCACAGAAGCTTGAGATGGCCAAGCCCCAGGACATGTCAGAGTCTGGTGGAGGCTTCTGGCTACCTGACAGCAGTGGCTCTCACGTCAGAAGCGTACAGCACACCACAGGACATTTTAGAGACCCGTTGAGCGTTCCTAGTCAGAAAGCTGCACCTTATTATATTCTGTTGTGTTAGCGTTGAAAGGAGGTGGGGGAAACTGTATCTTAAGAGGCCCTTGCAAATGTTTGTTGGTATTGGTTTCTGCTGTGGAGTGCTTACGTTTCACCATATTGCACAGTGAGAAGCAGATTTCTGCCAAGAGGCTGTGTCTGCATGTGATTTTGAACAGCTCTCTCTCTGCTCTCCACTCTCATATTTATTGCATTCACTATAGACTTTTAAATTCCCACTGCAGAAAGGAAACTTGTACAATAGCGCTACTCATTATTGCAGAATCAAAAATTAGCATTTGTAAATTTCCTGACACGCATTTCTTTTTCCTGTTTTATTATGTAGCTGTTAAAATCATATATATATTTTTTTTTTAAATTGCTGGAGGTACAAAAGCAGACTTACATTGAAAATGAAATATTGTGACCAAATAGAAGAGGTTCATTAGCATTAAAAATACATCTCTAGAGTCAGTAATCTTGGCTTTTTGATTGTTGTTGACACTGTTTGCATACTGCTTTAACGTAACGGTCAGGAGCAAACACCGACTGGTGAAAGACGGTATTTTTGTGCTTAAATATCCGGAACAGTTGAAATTCAAGTAAGAGTTATAAGCTGGCTGGTACATTATTAGTTCTGTACTCTAAAACATATACTCATTTTAAGAAGGGCCTGTTTATTTTATTTCAGGGGAACATTGTGATACTTTTGAAAATTCTTAATTGCTATCATGTAAGCAGATATAATAGATTAACAATCAGTCAGTTAAAATACTGATTTTTAAGAACACAGGTGCATATGTTGTGTCTCATAATTATTAGCTAGCAACAAAAATAAATTAAGTTTTATTTGTGGAAAGGTATTTACTGAAATTATCACTGAGCAAAATAAAATTTATTTCCATATAAACTCTTCAGGTGACAGAAGACACTGTACCTTTTACACTAACCTCAGCATTTTCTAATGAACATTTTAATTTAAGTTAAACACTTTTAAAAGAGGCTCTTGCAGCCTGAATAAAAAATGTTTTGAGTCTTCAGTGTGGTTGAATGCTGTGAGTTCAGTTGCTCAGTAGTACATGCAGGTTCCCAATACCTGTACAAGTTACAATTTCAAACCTAGCACCAGGTATCAAGATTTGAACGCGATGAACTGAAGGCTGAGTTTAGCCTCTGAAAGTGCTGTGCTATTTGTGAGCTGGGGGAGGCTTCACTCATTTTGTTGCGAGGAATCTGTGTGACTTTAGTGCTAAAGCTTTGGCAGCTGGACAAAGAGAAGAGGATCTGCCCAGCCTCTTCACCTTACTGCTTTAACAGTAACCAGCTGCTTTTGGGACCTGCTAATGGGTGATCTGGCCCCGCTGGGCAGCTGCTTCATTTGTTTGAGAGCTACTGGTAATGTTGATAACATTACTGACAGCTAATATAGTATCTGGATTTTAATATCGAGAGAAACAATTTAATTTGTTAAGCATAATGAAATTGATTGTAAGCACCGTGGACGTTTCATGTAGCAAACAAGAATGCTGCCTCTGACACACACAGGAGTACATGAACTGGAACAGGTTGCCCAGAGAAGCTGTGGATGCGCCCTCCCTGGAGGTGTTTAAGGCCAGGCTGGATGAGACTTTGAGCAACCTGGTCTAGTGGGGGGTGTCCCTGCTGATGGCAGGGGGGTTGGAACTAGATGATCTTCAAGGTCCCTTCCAACCCAGACCATTCTATGAGTCTAACTTTGGTGCCTTCTCAAAGCTGTTGCCAACTCTGTCCCTGTTGATCTTGGTGGGATCTCAGCCACTAAAGGACTGTGATCCTCACTTGCAGAGTTTGGAGGGGAGTTCTGAGTCAAGTAAAACTGAGTTGTTGAGTGTTGCTTAAAGCCTTGTGTCTTCTCCAGGAGTAAAACACAAGAAGCCACAGTGGAAAATCAGGTGTGATGGGTTGTCAGGAGTAGGAGAACTAGGAGATGCCGCAGCATAGCTGGCTTGGCCAGGAAGGCTGTTGAGCAGTTCTGCTCCTGGCTGGCCAGCGTGTGGAGTCGGCTGAAGTCTGTGCACACCAGGGCTGGGGCTGGCGTTGAAGGAGGAGGAGAGCAAAGCTCGGTGTCAATTTGGAGAAGTGCAGCTAGAGATGTGCTCGCTGCTTTGGGTGCTCTGAGCTCTGCTGGCGTTGGCCCTGTGCTGCTTTGAATCGATGGGCCACTGGGCTGGTGTGACTGCATTGCCCTAACCCTTACGTCAGCCTACCTGCCCTGAATCCCCCGTGATCTCACCTGCGTGCGCAGGAAGGGGGTGGAACTGAACCGGCA